GCCCCTCCCCCAGCCTCGCTGCCACCTTGCAGTTAGATCTCAGACTGCTGTGCTGGTGATGAGGGAGGTTCTGTGGGCATGGGACCCTCTGGGTCAGGCATGGGATATAATCTCCTGGTGTGCTGTTTGCTAAGACCCTTGGTAAAGCACAGTATTAGGGTGGGAGTTACCCAATTTTCCAGGTTGTGTGTGTCTCAGTTTCCCTTGGCTAGGAAAAGGAATTCTTTCCTCCTTGTGCTTCCCAGGTGAGGTGATGCCTCACCCTGCTTCACCTCTCGCTGATTGGGCTGCACCCACAGACCAGCACCGACTGTCTGACATGCCCCAGTGAGATGAACCTGGTACCTCAGTTGAAAATGCAGAAATCACCCATCTTCTGTGTCATTCACACTGGGAGCTGGAGGCTGGAGCTGTTCCTATTCGGCCATCTTGGGCGCCCTCTCTTTTTTTTTGGTTTAGATGGAGTCCCGCTCTGTTTCTCAGGCTGGAGTGCAGTGGTGTGATCTCGGCTCACTGCAAGCTCCACCTCCCAGGTTCACGCCATTCACCTGCCTCAGCCTCCTGAGTAGTTGGGACTACAGGCACCTGCCACCACGCCTGGCTAATTTTTTGTATTTTTTAGTAGAGATAGGGTTTCACTGTGTTAGCCAGGATGGTCTATGATGTCCTGATCTCATGATCCACCTGCCTGGGCCTCCCAAAGTGCTGGGATTACAGGTTTGAGCCACTGCACCCGGCCCTGGATTCATTAATTTTTTGAAGAGTTTTTGTGTCTCTGTCTCCTTCAGTTGTGCTCTCATCTTAGTTATTTCTTGACTTTTGCTAGCTTTTGAATGTGTTTGCTCTTGCTTCTCTAGTTCTTTTAATTGTGATGTTAGGGTGTCAATGTTAGATCTTTCCCGCTTTCTCTTGTGGGCATTTAGTGCTATAAATTTCCCTCTACACACTGCTTTAAATGTGTCCCAGAGATTCTGGTATGTTTTGTCTTTGTTCTCATTGGTTTCATTATCAAGGACGATCTTTATTTCTGGCTTCATTTCATTATTTACCCTTAGTCATTCAGGGGTCGGGTCTTACTGCCGTTTCTCATGTAGTTGTGTAGTTTTGAGTGAGTTTCTTAATCTTGCATTCTACTTTTGATTGCAGGCTGTGTACTGAAGAAACTGTTTTGTTATCGATTTCCATTCTTTTGCACTTGCTGAGTGAGTGTTTTCTCCCAATTATGGTGGTCAATTTTAGAATAATGTGTGATGTGGTGCCTGAGAAGAATGTATATTTCTGTTGATTTTGGGGTGGAGAGCTCTGTAGGTGTCTATTAGGTCTGCTTGGTCCAGAGCTGAGTTCGAGTCGCTGATATATCTGCCTTGTTAATTTTCTGACTCGTTGATCACTGTCCCTAATATTGACCAGATGGGGGGG